TCTGGACACTTTGACCCCCCCCCCCCCTTTCCAGTCTGGACACTTTGACCCCCCCCCCCTCCAGTCTGGACACTTTTACCCCCCCCCCCCCCTCCAGTCTGGACACTTTGACCCCCCCCCCCTTTCCTCCAGTCTGGACACTTTGACCCCCCCCCCCCCCTTCCAGTCTGGACACTTTGACCCCCCCCCCCCCTTCCAGTCTGGACACTTTGACCCCCCCCCCCCCTCCAGCCTGGACACTCCCCCCCCCCCCTGGGACACTTTTACCCCCCACCCCCCCCCTCCAGCCTCCAGTCTGGACACTTTTACCCCCCCCCCCCCCCCCCCCCCCTCCAGTCTGGACACTTTTACCCCCCCCCCCCCCCAGTCTGGACACTTTTTACCTCCCCCCCACCTTCTGGACCTTTAAGGACACTTACCCCCCCCCCCTCCGACCCCCCCCCCCCCCCCCCTCCAGTCTGGACACTTTTACCCCCCCCCCTCCAGTCTGGACACTTTTACCTCCCCCCCTCCAGTCTGGACACTTTTACCCCCCCCCCCCCCTCCAGTCTGGACACTTTTTAAACCCCCCCCCCCCTCCATCTGACCTCTCCCCCCCTCCAGTCATGGACCACTTTTACCCCCCCCCCCCTCCAGTCTGGACACTTTTACCCCCCCCCCTCCAGTCTGACACTTTTTAACCCCCCCCCACCAGTCTGGACACTTTTACCCCCCCCCCTCCAGTCTGGACACTTTTACCCCCCCCCCCCCTCCAGTCTGGACACTTTTTACCCCCCCCCCCCCCTCCAGTCCTGGACACTTTTAAACCCCCCCCCCCCCTCCAGTCTGGACACTTTTACCCCCCCCCCCCCAGTCCAGTCCATCAGGACACTTTTACCCCCCCCCCGTCCAGTCTGGACACTTTTACCCCCCCCCCCCCCCTTCCATCTGGACACTTTTAATATTATACCCCCCCCCCCTCCAGTCTGGACACATTTTACCCCCCCCCCCCCTCTTCCAGTCTGGACACTTTTAACACCCCCCCCCTACTTCCAGTCCGGACTGCTAATATATGCACTGGTTCGCATTTCATCGAACGGGTGAACGGGGTGTGAATATGATGTGGTGCAGAATTGGCACAGAAAAAAACCTCTGCGAGGTCCGCATCCGTGTTTAAACCAGGTTAAGCTGTTTAAGTATTTCAGGCAGAGGGGTTGAAAATTGATCAAATACACATACAATACAAGTAATGTTTTGTTTTTTGGGGTGTGTGTTTTTTTTTTTTTTTTTTTTTTGTTCTTTGGCAAATTGTGTTAAAAGTTTAACTGTTCAAAGTAGTTTCCTGGAAATGTAAGCTGTTGTACAGGACAGGTTGTGGTGAATGTAGTCCTTCCCAGTTGCAGGTGACCACACTGATTGCAGAGGGGGTGGATTTCCACGTTCCTGTAACTTTTTTATTTGGGTGCGGCTTTGCATGACCGCGCAATTGTCAGTTAAAGTAACGCAGCGCCACATTGCAAAAAATGGCCTGGTCATGAAGGGGGGGGACAAAGCCTCTGGAGGGGGAGGGTTAATAAATGTGATGTGGATAATATATATAATTACAGTTATGTTCAAACAATATTAGCAGTGAGTTTGAAAAAAGTGAATAAAGCTGAAAATCCTTCTAATAGCTTTTATTTCCATCCACACAAATGCATTTGGGAACACGGACACATTCTATTCCAAAATCACAACATGAAGAAAAATACATCAAATTTGTGTTGTTCCTCTAAAAAAAAAATGAAGAAAAGTGAATATTAGACGTTCAAAGAAATCGCAGTTTTTGTATTCTTCTTTTACAAACTCCAACATTCACTATATAAACTGAGAAATGTTTGAAGATTTTGCTTTCTTTGAATGACTTCATGAATATTTGGTTGTAGTCGCACTGTTTCTGAGAACTGCTGTACATCACTGTGTTGCATGGAGTCCCCCAACTTCTGGCCCCTGTGATCAGGTATTCCAGCCCAGGATGATTGGACCACATTCCACAGTTCTTCTCTATTTCTTGGTTTGGCCTCAGAAACGGCATTTTTTGATGTCACCCCACAAGTTTTCTATTGGATGAAGATCCCGGGGATTGGGCTGGCCATCCATAACGTCCATTTCTTGTAGTTGGTCTGGAACCCAAGATGTCGCACGTTTACTGGTGTGTTTGGGGTCGTTGTCTTGTTGGAACACCCATTTCAAGGGCCATTTCCTCTTCAGCATAAGGCAGCATGACCTCTTCAAGTATTCTGATGTATTCAAAACTGATCCATGATCCTGGTATGCGATAAATAGGCCCAACACCGTAGTATGAGAAACATCCCCATATCATGATGCTTGCACCACCATGCTTCACGGTCTTCACAGTGTACTGTGGCTTGAATTCAGTGTTTGGGGGTCGTGTGACAAACTGTCTCCGCCCACTAGACCCAAAAAGAACAATCTTACTTTCATCAGTCCACAAAATGTTGCGTCATTTCTCTTTAGGGCCCGGTCAATGTGCTCTTTGGCAGATTGTAACCTCTTCAGCACACGTCTTCTTTTTCCCAACAGTGGGACTTTGCGGGGACTTCTTGCAGATAGCTTTGGCTTCACATCGGGGTCTTCTAATTGTAACAGTCCTCACAGGGAACGTCACAACCTTCTTTCATCTTCCTGGAGCTGATTGTTGGCTGAGTCCTCACAGGGAACGTCACACCTTCTTTCATCTTCCTGGAGCTGATTGTTGGCTGAGTTCCGCGCGCCATTTTGGCTATTCTATCCATTCCAATGGTAGTTTTTTTCGCTTTCTTCCGCGTCTTTCAGGTTTTGGTTGCCATTTTTTAAAGCATTTGCCATCATTTTAGCTGAGCAGCCGATCATTTTCTGCACTTCTTTAAAAAGTTGATTGGAGAGGGGAAAACATGTTAATCAAGGTACGCTGTTCTTCTGAACAATGTCTGGAACGACCCATTTTCCTCAGAGAATTTCAGAGAGAAATGCACTGTAACCAGCATGTCCAACATTTTGCTGCCTTCCTTCCTTAAAATAAGGGCAATAATTGCCACCTGTTTTTATCAAAGAATGAATGACCTCACTAATAGAACTCCACACTGCTATTATTTTGAACACGCCCCTTTCAATGAGTGATTCAATGACACAGAATCAGCAGCATGCATGTCATGACTGTTGGGTCTGTTGGATTTCTATTACTCTACTACACCTGCTAGGAAATTATCTGCCATGTAGAAATATCATTTCCACCAAAAACAGCGATTGATCCGGTTTAGTGATGTCTGACTGCTAGTATTTTGAACATAACTGTGTGTATGTATGTATGTATATATGTGTGTGTGTGTATATATATATTTATCTGGTTTTTTTTTTAGTTTTTTTTTTAGTTTTTCCTAATCCTCAGATTTCCTTTTGTAACTTCTGTTAGGTTCATTAACCAAATGTCAGCTTCATGATGAAATGATCGGGGGCATTTAATGACGTGCTGCGCACAGCCAGATTTCAGTAGGGGGGGTTTAAAACTACATGTTCTGCTTTTTTCTTATAGACTCAATATTCATTTAAGCAAGTTTTTGGAACACAGATGACACAAAAAGATCTCTTTGATGTGGTTGCTAAGCCTTTGGTGGAAGATCTTATTCGTGGTAAAAACGGTATGTTGTTTTGGATACATTTCTACCCTTAACTGCGATGTAGGAGGCTTGTGTCTTGAACTTCTCTGGTTTTTGTTTTCCAGGTCTTCTTTTTACATATGGTGTCAAGGGAAGCGGGAAGACTTACACGATGACTGGATCTCCTGGGCAAGGAGGACTATTGCCTCGCTGTCTCAGCATGATTTTTAACAGCATTAGCAGGTTTCAGGCCCAGAAATATGTAAGTCTGATGTTGGAATCCAGTCATTTGCTGTACATTCCTTTTTATGGGACTCGTGCTCGGCTGCCAACAGTAGTATATTCATGGCCTGTATTGTAGTCACTACAGCAGACTCTAATTTTTTAGCAAAAAATTCTGACTTTTTTACATGTAAACAAAAGTGTCAGAAAAAGGCCTGGTGGTCACCGTATTGCAGGCCATAGACGGGTCATTTATCGGCCAAATTTTTCATCCAAAAGAATAATTGGCTGATATTTGCACCGTTAGTGGGCGATGTCGTTGACCAATTTTTCACAGTTCCTTCTCGTTTCTTTTATCGGTCATGCTGGAAAATCTACGAAAAACGGACGTTTTTTGTAAGCATTGGTGGCAACAGAACGACCGATTTTTTTTTTTTTACTTTTTTCTTTTTTCTTTTTCTTTTTTTTTTCTTTTTTTTTTTTGCTTTTGCTCCGACAATTCGGCCGATAAACGACCCCCGTTATCTATGGCCTGCATATATTTGTCACAGTATATGTGATATATGGGGACTGCCATTGCTGAGAACCAGTAGTCTGTCTGTTATGCTGACCCTCTGGCTTCAAATCATTCAGAATTAGACACATAATGGGTTTTGAAGATCACAAGACAGACCTTCCTATCTGCGTACTGCTGTGTTTATTGATCCATAATGAGGCAAGATGGCCCACGTGCATTTGGGATTTTCAAATGGCAAGGTCAGCAGTGGGAAGCTGCCTTTGTTTTCACTTATGACTGGTTTAGTTTAAATCCCCTTTTGTAAATTATTTTGTTTTTTTTTTTTGTTTTTTCAGATTTTTTAGGACTGATGATAAAAACGGCATTGAAATTCAGAATGAGGTGGATGCATTATTGGAGCGGCAGAGGAGAGATGCTCAGATACAGGTACCCAGGACCCCTATGAGGTAGGTAGCTGAGCCTGTCCTTCCTCCTTTTTTTTTTTTTTTTTTTTTTTTTTTCTCTTCTTCTCCCCCCCGCCCCCCCCCCCCGCCCCCCCCCCCCCCCCTCCCCCCTCCTAATATTTTTACCATGACTTATGTACATAATGACCTGCAGGCACAGAATGGAACCTGAATTTGCAGACATGATTAACATTGAAGATAACTGCAAGGTGGAAAGAAGTAGATGAAGACAGCGTATATAGTGTGTTTGTTTCCTACATTGAAATCTACAATAACTACATCTATGATCTTTTGGAAGAGGTGCCTATAGATCCCATCAAACCAAAGTAAGCTAAAATGCCTAAATGTAAAGATTAAACTGCTTTTTTTTAATATTCAGAGCCCTGTGTTAAGTGGCATCTTAAAGTGGAGTTCCAGCTGGGAAAAAGTCTGCAGCTACATAGACAAAATACAGCCAATTACCTGTCCCTCGGTCCTGCGGGGTCTTCACCACCAACTGGTTTCAGCGGCCGTCTTCTCTCCCTGGCACCAATATCTTCAGTGTGGACAGCTTGCGGCTTCACAGCCGGTACCCACTGCGCATGCGTGATCAGCGCTGCGCTTCTTGAATGACCCCCGTCGTCTTCTGTGACCTGTCGTGTGTCCCAGGAGACTACGGGGAGGGAAGGGGGAGGACCGCTTTCCGATCGCCTAGGCCAGTGGTGGGCAACCTTTTTTTTTTTTTTTTTTTTTTTTTTTCAACTGAGCCAAATCTCGCCAAAAACCACGATTGAAATTTATTTTGAGAGCCACATTTTTTAAAACTGAAAATACATAGGATGGTACACTGTTTTTAGTTTCAATAAGTTTTTATAGTAATTCATCCCCCCATATAGTTATTCATCCCCCCCATAGTTATTCATCCCCCATATAGTAATTCATCCCCCATAGTAATCATCATCCCCCATATAGTAATTCATCCCCCATAGTAATTCATCCCCCATAGTAATTCATCCCCCTATAGTAATTCATCCCCCATAGTAATTTCATCCCTCATATAGTAGTAGTAAGTAAGTAGCAAGTAGTAAGCCAAGTCCCCCCTGTGTCAATTCACTTACCTTTGCTCCGCGCGTTCCTCTCGCCGTGTTCCCGCGTCGTTCCGGTCTTCAGGGCGGACTGTGAGAGGAGCCTAGCTCCTCTCACGTTCGTCACGCTGCCCCGCCTACACACATCCTGACAGCCAATCATCTGGCTATCAGGATGTGAGTGGCAGCGAGACTGGCCAATCATTGCATTTGAGCGCGCTGCCCTGGCTGTTTTTTTTGGGTTTTTTTTTGGATCACGCTGCAGAGTCCCTGCCGCCAGAGAGGAGGGAGGGGAGCGGGCGCCCGGCACACAAGAGCCGCATTAAAGCGTGTAAAGAGCCGCATGTGGCTCGCGAGCCGCGGCTTGCCGACCACTGGCCTAGGCGATCGAATTTGTGGGAGCAGGTACCTGTAAATTTCAGGTACCCGCTCCCCAAAGGTGCCAATCCTTAATGGGGGGCGGGGAACCAGTCTTTAAAGCGGAACTTCCCTTTTGGGTGGAACTCCGCTTTAACAATTAGTAATAGCCAAAAAATAAACAAGGGTGCAGTGCTAACCACAGTCTAGTACTGATTAAAAAAAAAAAAAAAATCAAGTTGGCACGCTTTACTCTCGGCCGTGACAAATTTTACGTTTTTGGTCTGTAAATGTCTTGCCCTGTGTTTTTTGTGTGGTGGGCATTTCTTTCTTTCTCTTCTGTTTAAATGAGTTTTCGCGGGAATTCCATTTCATGAGTCAGGTTTTGGGTTTTTTTTCTTGTTTTTTTTTTGTTTATCTGCATGCTGCAGGTTTTTTTTTTTTTTTTTTTTTTTTCTCTTTTGAAGTAATGTGCAATAAAGATTGTAACTTTTTGCTATTTCTTTGTTAGATGGAACACGCCGGGAAAGAATGCAGAGTTTATGTATGTCTTATATTACATAGCTTTTGCCTTGTTGCCCAGCTGTCTGCCTGATTCCCTAGTTTATGTAGACAAAGCTTACCATCACCATCATCATCACCACTGTCCTCTTGTCATGTGTCTAATCTATACATTTGCATGGCCGCATGCTCTCCTATTTTGGCTAATCTACGCTTTTTTAGCTATATGTATGCCCTTGTTCTACCAACAACCATACTAACCTGAACTACCATTCTCTATTCCAGACCCCCACAGTCTAAGATCTTACGGGAAAGACCAGAACCACAACATGTATGTTGCTGGGTGCACAGAAGTTTGAAGTTAAAACCACAGAAGAGGCATTCGATGTGTTTTGGAAAGGTGGGATTTGTAGTCCAGGGAATTTTTTTTTTTTTTTTTTTTTTTTTTTTTTTTTTTTTTTTGATGATTTTCATGTGCAGGACTTTGTATGTGTTGCCTAGTGCACAGTGACATTGTAGTATCTCGCTCTTCACATTAATAGACTGGAAATTACTTTTAACCCTTGAACTATTTGGGGTGTTAGGCCAGGTTCACATCTATGCAGATTGCGGTTGATGCATTTTGGGTTGTTTTTGGTTTTTTTTTGTTTTTTCCCCACACCCGTTAATGTATTTTTTATGCATTCTGTGACTTTACTGGTTGTAAAGGATGCCGGCTGCCGCCTGCTCCTGAACAACCAGGTAAACAACATGGTTTTGCAAGGTGCTGGCAGCCACCCGGCGTCCTTGACAGCCGATGAATATAAACAAACATTTTGCCAGCAATTAAATAAAATTGGGAAAAGGTAGGGGTTCCCACTACTATGGGCGGACAGTGCGCACGCTCAGGTTTTAATTTGAGGGTATGTACATCGAAATTGGAGGAAGGGTTTAGGAATTACAGCTCTTAAGAGTAGCCATCCCCCCTTTTTCAAGGGACCAAAAGTAATTGGACAGTTGAATCAAATCTGTTTCATGGCCAGGTGTGGGCTACTCCTTTATTCAATTAATCAGGCAAAAGGTCTGGAGTTGATTCTAAGTGCGGGATTTGCATTTGGAATCTATTGCTGTGAACCTCCATCATGCGTTCAGAGGAGCTGTCCATGCAAGTGAAACAGGCCATTGTAAGGCTTCAAAAACGAAACAAATCCATCAGAGAGATCGCAGCATCACTAGGAGCGGCCAAATCAACAGTTTGGTACATTCTGAGGAAAGAAGAACGCACTGGTGAGCTCAGCAACATAAAAAGGCATGGACGTCCATGGAGGACAACAGTGGTGGATGATCGCAGGATCCTCTCTATGGTACAAAAACCCATTCACAACATCCAGACAAGTGAAGGCCACTCTCCAGGAGGTGGGCGTATCATTGTCAGTCTACAATCAAGTGAAGACTTCACGAGAGCAAATAGAGGATTCACCACAAGGTGCAAACCATTCATAAGCCTGAAGAATAGAAAAGCCAGATTAGACTTTGCCAAAAAAAAAAAAATCTAAAAAAAGCCGGACCAGTTCTGGAAAAGCATTCTTTGGGCGGATGAATCTAAGATGACCCTGTACCAGAATGACGGGAAGAAAATAGTGTGGAGAAGGCTTGGAACAGCTCATGATCCAAAGCACACAACGTCATCTTTAAACCCATGGCGGAGGCGGTGTGATGGCATGGGCGGAGGCGGTGTGATGGCATGGGCATGTATGGCTTCCAGTGGCACTGGGTCATTGGTGTCTGTTGATGTGACAGAAGATAGAACCTGCTGGATGAATTCTGCAGTGTTTACAGATATACTGTCAGCCAAGATTCAGCCAAATGCAGCAAAGCTGATTGGACGGCGCTTCACAGTACAGATGGACAATGATCCAAAACACACTGCAAAAGCAACCCAGGAGCTTTTGCAGGAAAAGTGGAATATTCTGCAATGGCCGAGTCAATCACCTGATTTCAACCCCATTGAGCATGCATTTCACTTGCTGAAGACAAAACTAAAGGCAGAAAGACCGACGAACAAAGAACTACTGAAGACATCAGCATTAGAGCCTGGCAAAGCATCAGAAAGGAGGAAACCCAGTCTTTGGTTATGTCCATGGGTTCCAGACTTCAGGCAAAGCATCAGAAAGGAGGAAACCCAGTCTTTGGTCATGTCCATGGGTTCCAGACTTCAGGCAAAGCATCAGAAAGGAGGAAACCCAGTCTTTGGTCATGTCCATGGGTTCCAGACTTCAGGCAGTCATTGCCAGTAAAGGATTCTCAATAAAATATTACAAATGAACATTTTATTATGATAAGATGCAATTGTCAATCCAAAGACCTGCTGGTAGGTGAATTGGCTCCTGTCTAAATTGTCCCTAGTATGTGTATGTATGGATGTGAGTTAGGGACCTTAGATTGTACGCCCCTTGAGGGTTAGGGACTGATGTAAATGTACAATATATATGTAAAGCGCGGCGTAAATTGACGGTGCTATATAAGTACCTGGAATAAAATTTTTGTCCAATTACATTTGAGCCCCTGAAAATGGAGGAACTGTGTATAAAAATGGTTGCAGTTCATAAAATTTGTACATATTTATGTTCAACCCCTTGAATTAAATCTGAAAGTCTGCTCTTCAAATTCATTTGGATTGTTTTGTTTTCATTCATTTTGGTGGCATACAAAGCCAAAAGTATGAAAATTGTGCCAGTGTCCAAATATATATGGACATAAGTGTATGGTATGTATGTATCACGAACTGTTTTTTGTTTGTTTTTTCTCCCCTGAAGGCCAAAAGAGGAGGAGAATAGCGAACACTCAATTGAATCGTGAGTCTAGCCGCTCCCATAGTGTCTTCATAATAAAGTTAGCACAAGCCCCACTGGATGCGGATGGGGATAATGTGCTGCAGG